AATTTCATGTCATTAGCACCTCTAGTAATATATTTACTGAGAAAAATGATGACGTGTTCAATACTTATTTTACCCACTGTATATGGTTCCAATCAAATAAGAGTCACTTTCCGGTGGTTCATCTTTATCGCCCGCCACCAAAGTCAAAGCAGCAATAATGTTTTTGCTTGTCCCTGTGTGTTAGTGTGTCTGTTAGTAAAACATCTCGAGAACCATTGGACAAATTATACTGGTACTTGCAGAAAGTGGCTCAGTTTAAGACGGTGCCACAGCGACACAAAAATGTCTCTACCTCAGTCAAATCTGCAGAAAATCAGCTAAAGTTTGATGTGATAGTAGCTAAAAATCATCCACAGTGCTTTGAGATCTAACCRCTCACACAAAAACTCCATCCAGCTTATAAAAATATAATCTTAGTCTAAAACAGAGGTGCCCAAAGTGGGGCCCACCAAGCTGATTCTTTTGGCCCACCAGCAAATGCCCTGGTTACTGCAAAAATAGTCCATCTGACCAAGTCTTATAATCTTAAATCTAGCCAAAAATATTTAATTATTAAAATTATGGGTGATAAATAATTAAAGGGGCAATATTATGTGTTTCTCAGGCATTTATTTAAATTCTATACCATAATAAAGTTACTATGTCACCTTCAGTTGTTATTAAAAAGCTGTTTATATGTTTAAATAGAAAATAAACTTGACTTCTTATCATATCTGTTTCTAAACACCTTGAAATTGGCCTCTGTCTCTTTAAGAACCTCCTTCTGCTTCTGTCCCGCCCATTTCAGCACGGGGCCGGTCCCAAAAGATGGTTCTAGTCCCAACCGGTGGATTTTGCTCCCCTGCCTGGCTGCCTCAGGACACTACAGGATTTCTCAAACATGCATGAATGAGTCAAAGTAAGACTCTGGGCATGTTTTTGATGACAGGATAATATTATAACATGATATAAAACTCAAAAAAGTTGATTTTACATGATATTGCCCATTTAAAAAAATTTTTTGAGACTGATTTACTAAACAAGAGTAGAATTTGTGAGATTATTAATCTTGATAGCTTGGGAATTTGACTCAAATAAGTAAACTAATCTGCYAACGGAATAAGACAATTGCACTAGGTAAGATTCTTGAAATAAGGAAAAATTGAGTCAAATTAAGTGATTTCAAGAATCTTACCAAGTGCAATTGTCTTACTCCGTTGGCAGTTTATTTTACTTATTTGAGTCAAATTTCCAAGCTAACAAGATAAATAGTCCTGCACATTCTGCTCTGGTTTAGTCAGTYTCAAAACAAGGTCAAAARTATTTTTTTGGCTGKATATAAGATTGTAAGACTTGGTTAGATGGACTGTTTTTACAGTGTGCCATGTAGAAACACTGTACTTCCACTTAGTCATTCCATCTATTGGCCCAGTAGCTGTAGTGCAGATGGTCTTCACTCGTGGTGCTTTTATCTTTGAATTATATTAAGATTAAACATGAAATACAAGTAACTAAAAGAGACATTTAGATTTGTGCACTTTAGAAGAACACAAATACTCATTTTATCAATTTACGAAATGTCCCAAGAGCCTTTGCTGCCCGACCGTACRTCAAACTTTCTCAAAGTGTGCTGGCTAAAAAAAAAAAGGAAAAAAAATTACATGGGCCACATCACTGGTCACTAGTTTAATCCTTA